GGATGGATGGAGGGATGGATGGAGGGATGGATGAAGGGATGGATGGAGGGATGGATGGATGAAGGGATGGATGGAGGGATGGATAGGTGATGGATGATGGTTGCCTGGATGGTTGGAGGGGAGGGAGGGAGGGAGGAAGGGCAGAAGAAGACGACCAATCATTTTTCTTTGCAGTAATTTCTGTAAGTGATGCCAGTCTGGCTCTCTCATTTGGAAGAACTGCAAAATAAATAGGATCTAAGGTAGGCAAAGCTTACAAATTTATTAGTGGCTCATGCAGTAATTTTTAATGTTTCTGTGGCAATAGTAGCAACAAATTAATAAAAGCTTAATTTTTATACAAATAGTTTTATTACAAATTTGAATTTTTAAGAAATACACATTGAGAGAAATTACATAAAAGGCCTTAGTAGTCTTAAACGTTTTGGAGACTTTGGGTGAAATGTCATTTCGGGCATAGTGGTCAGTTCTGCTCTCCTGCAATCCACCCGTTCCCTGCTGACATGCGCACAGTGCTCCCGGGAACAAGGAAGCCACACGGAGCGCTTCCACGTGGGTTACTGACACTAAGATCCTACAGAGCTGTTTTCCGCACCAGGCTGCAGAATGAGGAATACGAATGAAACGAAGGCCTTTTACGGTTGCTGGTTTTGAAGTCAAGTCATTCAGTTGTGATTAGTGCTTAAAACCCTGAAGATACTTAATACAGAAAAAAAAAAAAACAATAAAGCCCAAAGTACATGCTTCACTGTAATAAACACCGCGCTCATGAACCTGGGTTTGGCTTTGGCTGATACACGAGTTTTGGTTTGGAGGTGAACAGTGAGAACGGATATTTCCATCCAACACCCGAGTGTTCAAAAATCTATGTGAAAGGACAACACAGTCTTTTCGAGGAAGAAACTATGTAAGCTTTATTTTAACAGTGGAAATGAAACGAAAACTTGACCTAATTGCTGACATCTATATAAATTACTAAAATATATATATATTTAATTTCTGCCTACTTTTGGACCATCTTTATTCCACAGGAAATTCGTGATTTCTGCAAAAGCAGCTGCATAGTACCACACAGAGCAGAAAGACCTAAATTTATATTTGGGGTTGGAAGATCCGGCTGCCGAGCCCACATTCCACGTGCAGCTCCGAAACACCGTGGTTACGTGATGGCTGTTTGTACAGACCCAGCTCGACAGTGACACAAACAGACATCCCATCCGGGGCTGACAAGGCATCTGCTATAATACAAGAGTGGAAACGGGCATTCGAACAGAACGGAAGGCCCCGCACACCTCCTAGCACCCTTTGGTTTCCTGATGGAGTTCTCAAGTTACACATCAGTGCACTGGATTGTAGGACAGACTTAGACTTTTATTTCATCACAAGTGCCACTTGGTATGTCACTATGACAGCTTATCATGGTCTTTGTTTCTCCTTCAGCAAGTAGAGGTCACCGAAGCAGGGTGTGTTAGTTACGCAAGTTCCTATAAGGCACTTTACGGTTTTCATACTGGACAGTGAGGTACACAGGATATATTTCTAGGGTTCGTTGCTGTTAAAAAAAAGAAGGGGAAGAGGAGGGAGTAGCACCATGTTGTACGTTAGCAGAGGGCCAGGCTTCATTACGTTCTTCTCATACAGACTTGGCAGCGACTGACGTGTGTGCGCAGCTCCCCGGCCTTCAAGGTGGACGGCGTGGGCTTCCTATGGGACGACACAGAAACCGGCCTTCGGCGCTGCGGCTCAGCGAGGCGGGCTGCTTCCCAGGGCCTCCCCCCGACCTGGGGAGATCTCCGAGGGGTCGGATGGGAGGGGCCCCAGCCTGGGACAAGTGGCGACCCCGGCTCAGCCTGACCGAGCGGACAAGGTGCTGGGTGTCACTTTACAGGGGGGAGCGAGGCATGTGATCATGTGCACCCCCCATCCCTGGCCGTGAGGTTGGCGGCAGCCCAAGTGCACGCCGGGGAGGGCATGGAAACAGCCACCCCACATGTGCTTGGCTCCGAAGTCTGAGGCACGCCCACTGGGCCACCCTGCCTCCTCGGCCTGTCATTTCCCCTCTCCGTGCTCTCTCCTCAACCAGATCATAAACTCCCCCAGCGGGAGAAGATTCTCTGCAACCCTTCACACACAGAGTAAGTGCTCATTAAATACTGGCTGAATGTGTAATGAACAATGAATCTGGGGTCATTAACTAGACCTTGAAATCCTCCTATAAGCTTTTGCTGGATTAGATGCAGGTAGTCTGATCGGAGGCCGGAGGGGGAGACATTTAGTGCCCCAAATGGTAGAAATTCTACCTTAATTTGAGAGTTAGAAGGGTGAAGTCTGAACTGAAGTTGGCACTAACCAAATTCTATTCAAATTAAAGTAGCCATATAATAAAAGTAACATCCTAAAATTAGGCTGCTGATTTTAGCAACTTCTGTGAAAATCTTATTGCCCCCAAATTAGTTATTTGAAATAATGGGATCTTATCTAATTTTTGTTTTAGTTCATTGTGCCGGGCTGCTGGTTCAAAAAAAGAAAAAAAACAAAAACAAACCAAAAAACCAACCCTATAATGGAAGCCCCAGGACCTGATCCCCCCAAGTGCTCAATTAGGTAGCTGGTGGTTAAGTTCTATCCCGAGAGTTGACGTCAAGTTTCCAGTTGCCTGAAAAGTCTCATGTAAGCTACCCACTAAGTACCTGGTACTTTTTTGGTGCTTAAAATATTATGAGTCGAGAGAGTGTTGCTTTGCCTTTCATAATCTAACTTAGAAAGAGACGGGCTCCCAGAAGAGTTCTGGCAAATTCTCCCTGAGAAGGCAAAGATGGAGAGGCGCGTCTCCGGGGGGAGCAAACGGTAACTGCTGGGGCTCAGGGGTCCCTGCGCCTGTCCCAACAGGGGCTGCAGGAAGGACAGAGGGCCGGGTGCGCGCTCCTCTCCAGCCCGACTGCACCGGGTCGGCTGCACCGTCACCCAGGCCAGCAGCCACCCGGGGCAATCGCCTCAACGGTGAAGTCGGAAGGGGAAAGAAGGGAAGGGTCTTCCCTATCGATTTCAGTGCATTTGGGCTGAACTTAATTTTTATTTTCATGGGTCTAACAAACAGTCTGGTCACGTCCCCCAGACTTCACGCAATGCACACACTAGAGTTGGCATCGCAACTGCTATGAGGGCAAACGCTCTTTCCTCCCTCACTGACCGGTAACACGTATTTTCAAATGCTGTTTGAGGAGCCAGCTGCTCTGACTACATCGCAGCGAATCCACCTACGAAATGGAAAATGGCCTTTTTTCTCTCATAGTCCTTCAGCCAACGGAAGAACTGAACCTGTCACCTGAGATCTGCCCCTGAAGTGCATCTCGGTTCTCTGTCCACGCGGAACAGAGTCGAGTCCTCCTTACTGCCTACAGAAGACTCATTCCCACTCCGTGTCTGAGAAGCCTCTTTAAGACTTTGTGCCCGAGGGAGCACGCACAGGGGCCCTCCCGACTTACTTGAACATCTCGCTCCTCTCGATGGTGGCAAGCCAAAAGCTGTAAGCGTTCGCATAGTAGTTGCAGGTCCCACGGCCGTGGCACTCGATGAATGGCGCGCTCCTAAACTCTTCCAGACAAGACCCGGGGGACGCAAGGGCTTGGCCCGAACCTTCAGCACCGGCACTGGTGTGCTGCGGGGCAGATGCGAGCCGTGAGTCAGGGCCCTGCCCACCGCCCACACGGGGCCTCGCCGGGGAGGAGCCAGGGTAGCCCCGCGGGGAAGCCGCGGGCAGGTCACAGAGAAACACACTCGCTACTTTAAACCGGGGCACAAAAGTCGTGTAAGTAGCTACGAGAGGATCCCAAGCCGGTGTCATGTTTCCTACTGTAACGGGTGTTTCAGGGGTGGGAACACCGGGGACCTGTGTCAGTGTGACCCACAGCTGTGGGATGGAGAGCAGCATCTCCTCACAGGAAGGGCGTGAGCCCCCACACCCCCGGGCACTGGCCAGCCCCCGGCCCCCCGCACCCCGAGGCTTCTGCTTCAGGCTCAGGCGAGCTGCTTGACCGTGCACCCATCTCCTCTCCTCCTGGGGAGGCGCTCTGACTCGGGGAAAGCTCTTTGTGCTGACGCCGCCACCCCGTCCCAGAGCAGCAACCCAAGAGGCAGGCGGCAGGCTCAGGCCAGGCACTGGAATGGCCGCCACAGGCAGCGGAGCAGGCCAGGTCCCTGGGGAGGCTTTGGTCGGGAGGAGAGGCCGGCACCAGGTGAGCCCAAGAACGGAGGGGTGGGGCGCGGAGGGAGGAAGCAGGGGCGCGAGTGGGCGGCTCTGCCAGGGGTGCGGGGAGTTGCCCCAGACGCTCACCATCACGAAGGAATAGCCAATCCAGAGGGAGGACCAGCCGCTGGGGCACTGCGGGATCTGAATGGTCTGGCTGTGCACGGCCATCACCATGGCTGGCGCCTCACACACTGCACACCTGGAAGGTACAGGGCACAGACTCTGAGCACGGCCGCGGGGACAGCACAGGATGAAGCCTGTGCTTATCCGTTCTTCCTGCCCGTGTTCTCACCCACCCTCTGCGCTCACATGTTCTGAGCCAGTGTCATGCTCACGACACACTGCAGCGTGGAGCCCTCTCACTGATTTTATAAGCCCCCCTCAGTGCTAGAAAATCCACAACCAACACTTGTTGAACCAACTGCTTTGTGGGAAGGGGGAAATCACAAGGCCAGGTTGTAACTGCGGCCGTCTGCCAGAGGGGCTAGGGGACCGTGGACGGGTGTTTTCTCCTTTGTTCTCCTTTGTGCATTCCAGTGTTTTCCGACTTTTCAAGAGGGAGCGTGGATTTCAGCAAACACAACTAACACTTGCGCCACGGGAGTCAGTGAAACCCAAGTGCTACCACTTTTGGAATTCAGCGATTTGTTTTCAGCTGAGAATTATCTTCAACGGAAGAAATATGTGGTGACAGAGTAGCCAGCAAACACTGCATCTGGGGCTGGACGTCCCCGTGAGCCGGCTTCGGACTGACTGGCAGGCAGCAGAGCCGTGGCAAGACCCTGTCCCCCACATGGGGGGGGGGGGGGGGGGGCCGCTGGCGGGACACTGCCGCGGGAGGACCTCCCACAGAACCTGCTCCAGGACGGGCACCCCCCGAGCCAGCCGGCCGACACCCAGCAACAAACTACAGCAACACACGCTCTTCTGACTCAGATCCTGCCCGGTTCAGGGAACCCTTTGATGGCAGAATATTGTTTTGTAAAAGAAAAGAAAAATTAAACACCAGCAGTCACATAATTACATTCAAGTCACAAAATGAACAGTGTTAGCAATGCTGATAAATGACTATAAATGGTGTTAATAATTACACCTAGTTATGCTGGAACATTTGCATGAAAATGGATGGGGAGCCGGTAGAGGCCTAAATTAGTTGTTCGACTTTCTGTGGATGTGCGTGTGTATGTACGCACATGTGAGGGCGCAATTTTCTATTTGATTCACACCAGTGCAGATGAATTAAAGGGCTCAGTTAAACAACAGTTACTGAAATTGGCCTTATACATCTGCCACCCTCTGTCTACCAGACACAGAAACCAGAAATAAAGCGTGGCAGCCGGTGCTTGATGTCAGGCTCTCTCTGGGCTGGGGGCTCGTCGAGACGGTGCTCCTGACACCTCCCCATCATGGACATGGACGGGAAGAGCCAGATGGCCCCCTGAAATTCAGACGGTCAACCCCCCATGTTATTCCTGAAAAGGCTGAGGCCCCAGAGAGCCGAGAGAGAGCCAGAGCTCGAGCGTGGCTCCCCTGCTCAACTAAGGTGTTGCCCCTAGGACAATGAAACAATCAGCAGCTCCGCGAAGACTCATGTCTGCCGAAAGCCAGAAACGTCTGCCCTGTTCTCAGGGTGAAGGGAGAGAAGTTGCCAGCTTTTCTGCGTCAGGGGAAGATTTTGTGTTATCAACTCTAAAAGTGAAGCTTTCGGAGCCCCCCCAAGTAACCTGGAAGTCCTGAGACCTCGTGCAACTGCAACAGCGGAGTGATAGTAACCATGGAAACCCGCAAACTCAGAGACCAGAAGTGGGCAGCACTGTTCCAAAGGGAGGGAGCGACAGACAGTGTGGCTTTGGGAGCAGCGGGCTCGGGGGCATGACTGGTAAGGTCCCTGCACACTGAGCTGCTGGGGGTCAGGCAACAGAAACATGTAAAAAGCCGAAACGCACACCGCTGACATTGACACAGCTCATGCTTCCAGGTTGGGGGGGTCTTACTGAAAGCAAGTAAGGGGTCCATGGGGAATAGCAAATCTCAGACACAGGCTTCTCATGGACCTGATTTTGGAATATTGCAAACACATGCCACAGCCCTTTCCTCAACCAAATCAAGATCAAAGGGTAGTTTTATCAAGGTGGTAAATAACAAACAAACATGAATAATCATTTTCTACCTGTTATCCAAGGGAAGCTGAACAAAAACACAAAGGTGGTTAGTTTTCCTTCGGGTGCAGCTGGCATGGTTCTGCGCCAGGACAGTCTCCGCAGAGAAAGTCTCAGACGCTCAGTGACACGCGTAAATAACGGTTTGGAAAGGTGCCACTCAAAGGTGTAATGAACCACTTTTCCCATTTTAAGACCCATAAAAGTGAGTTTTCTTACAGCTCGAAAGAAACATTAAAGAAAGTTATCAGGCGATAGTTTAATGTAAATCCATCGAAAACCTATGGTTTTCCTGTTTATCAGGGCATCTCCCAGCTCTTTGGCTCTGGGTCCTCCTCTGTGGTACCTGTCTCTCCGGGGACCTGCACCCCTGCATGCGCACGTGGATCCAGAGGGGCTAGAGCCCCAGACCGGCCTCAGGGCTCCCAGGACCAGCTCTGGCACACACTTCCTGCTCCCTCTGCCCTCTGGCCCCAGGACCCTGCCATCTCTTTCTTCCTCGTCAAAAGCTGCTTGGTTCTTTAGAGGGAATGTAGAAAAGGTAGTGAGTCCTCACTCTCACTTCCCTGGGGCAAACCCGTCTGCCTTATTATTCTATCCATCCCTTATTATCTTAGTGCGTTAGAAAGTACAACTATAGAATAGCTTCTTAGATGAATTCATACCACTGCCGCTTTTCTACTTCTGAGTAGAGTGAAGGAATCAGCTTTTAATTGGAAGGAATGAAGCAAAAATAGGACAATCGTGTATTTCTCAGTCATAATAATTTCAATTTCCCCTTTTACTTCCTACCAGGCAGACCTGAAAACATACTCCAGACATTAATTAGCATGGAAAGCACTTAATTTGGGAAGCTGCTTGGTCAAACACATGAATTGTCAGTGGGACTTCATCCTAAGGGAGCAGAAGTTGGTGGGGGTGGGAGAGTATGAAAAAAATCTTAATATGTATACATTTTTATGTATACAGTAAATCTGTATCATCTTTTTGTGTATAAAGCACAGACAATATGCCTGCATTACAACTTCACAGAGACCACCTCACACCCATGTGTGAGTTCCACTGTGCACTCAGAAGTGGTTAAGATGATTCATTTTATGTGATGTCTATTTTACTACAATTAAAAATAATAAAAAAAATTTTTAATTTCATGGGGGTGGGGTGATTCAGAAGAAAAAAACCTGAAAAGCCTCCTCAAGGAGAGAATTATTTGATAGAACAAAACTGAGAATGCTGTCCCTGTGGCTGCCGAGGACTGCAGGGGCACGGCTTCATGGGAGGGAGGGCGGCCACCCCCGTGACTCACACGGAACAGGAATTCTGCCCCAAAGCCAGGCATCAGTCACCTCTCCAAGGCACTGCCCTGGCATTTTGAAGAGGAGAGCTAACTTTGCTATCAAACGATTTTACGGCTGACTTGGGTTACAAAAGTCTGACATTACAATCAATAAACTGAATGGCAATACGTCGAATGTTGGGGGGGGGATGAAAAAAACAGTAACAACCTCTGCCTAGACTACGAGAGATCTTTCTTCTTCAATTCTACATCCACTCTGACGAATGCCCGACTCACCTGCTAATAAACGGTCTGATATTGTCCCCAGCGATGGGCGCCATGGACATGGGCATGGGCTCAGGCGTGGACAACCAGTAGGAGTAGTCATTTCGGGAGGCGAAGTTACACACATTGTTGATGTTGCAGAAAAGGAAGGGCATCGTACTGAACTTGCGCAGGCAGCTGCCAGCCGTGCCTAGAGCCATGGGGAGAGACAGCGTCAAGGGCTAGCTTTATAATCAGTCTGCCTCCATGCAAAGTAACCATCAAAATGGAAAAAAGCATGTTTTACCTTATAAATAGAAAGGAAGTAAATACACGCACAGACTAGTGTGATTGTAAATGAGCACTAAATTACGTTAAAGTCATCAAGGTAAAAGGAAAACTACAAAGAATTACATAGGATATTTTGATTAAAGGAGAGAAATCTTTTATAAAACTGAATTCCAAGAGAAATTTAACAGGTGGCTCCTTGTACGATGGACAGTAACCACCTGGACAATGTCTTTAACAACCGTTTTGCCGAAAATGCAGAGATTCCCTTTCTAGGGCTGCTTCTTGTTTCTGAGCTCCATACCAGTTAGAGGTGTGTGTCATTAAGCTGGTCATTGTTTAGAAAGAGCACCAGTAAAACGGCCCTATTTCAAGAATCTCAAAGCTAACTGTGAAGTATATATTCCAGAAATCTTGATCTACTTGATAACGTGAAGAAGAGATTGAAAGTTGTATGAACTGAAAAGGTTTTACATTTTCTTGGCTTCTCTTAGTAACATGGTAGCTGCTGAACTTGGTGGTTCACTTGGTAAGGCGGGAGGGAAGCGGCATCAGGTGCCCTTTGCACTGACTGTGTCTTTGTGGCGCCCTGAACCAGGACCAGAGCTGAGTACAGCTCTGGCAGCCGCCACAACTCTGTGTCACATGAATACACGTGTCCCCAGCGTCTCACCCAAGTCCTGGCCGTGGGCCCGTTCGTTGCCTTGCACATAGAGCAAGGAGTACCCGTGGTAAAGAATTTTGGTCCCAGGAGGACACTGTGGGTCATCCGTTGTTTGACTGTGCCTGGTCACAAGGAAGCCGTGATCAACAGACGGGGTGCCTGGGGGACCCATGGATCCTGGCAACCCATCAGGGCCTGGCGGGCCGGGAAACCCTCGCGGACCTGGAAGACAGAAGAGAAATGAGCTTCCCTGGCTGCAGACAGGCTCCCCTGAAAGACTTCGAGGACGACTAAGTACAGCAACCCACCTCTGTCCTGCCCCAGCTTCTCCTTTCTACAGACCACCGAGATGTTTTATAAACACAGTGCTGGGTGCAGAGCAGATGCTCAGAAAATTGAATCCAATGGGTAAACGAAATACGTGAAAAGGAATATACGAGGAGGTAGAATAAATGACATGATTCCACGTGTGTCACTCAGACAACATTTGGGGCTCCTCTAAGGGAGAAGGATCACAGAATTATTAGAACAAAACCTCCCTTTAAGGTGGCTTCCCTTCCACGGCAGCCCACCCAGCACGGCGCATGGAAATGGGGTGGTAAGGGCTGGGTGCTGGTGGCGAGTGCTATCGTCCCCCGGGTCACTGTGCTCGCTGCCCGCGAAGCTGCTCACAGACCTCCTGCTGGGCTGGGCCCCTGGCCCCTCCAGTCGATGCCTCGGGCCTCAGCATCTCAGTCATTATGGGGCCGCTGAGTTTTGCCTTCCTCGGGGAGCAGACCCACTGCATCCCGAGCCAGACAGCGGCCTTGTGGCCAACACTGGCATTATGATCTACTCCCTCTCGTCTGTTGCCGACATGGAATTTCTGTAGCTACAGCCCGCTCCCCCCACCTCAGAAGGCCACAGGCTGTCCCTGCTGGCCATCTTTCAACAACACTGGAAACCGTGTGCTGCTTCAACATCTGTCTCTCCACACAGAAAAAATGATGACAGCCCTTTAGCTCCTCTGTAAGACCTTATTTCCTCTAAACAAATTAAAAAAAAAAACAAAAACAAAACCCAAACACAAAACGAGACTTCTTTGGAAATCTGCCAAGTAACGTTTTCAATTCCACTGTGCACGTTTCCACACACTTCGAACCCAAGGATGCAGGTGGAGGGCGACTGGGTCAGGAGGAAACCTACCAGGAGGGCCGAAGGGTCCTGTCTCTCCTTTCTGGCCAGGCGCGCCGTCAAAACCAGGAACACCGGGCGGTCCAGGTAAGCCCACGGATCCTGTCACACCTGCAGGAAAGGGCAAGGAATTCACGACCTGGTCCTGGAGCACCGCAGGCTGTGGCTTCTTCTTCCCTTTTGGAGTGTGTTTTTAGCCGCCTGGCCGGCCACCCTAAGACCCTCAGCTGCAGTGAGAAAGTTCTGCCGGAAGCCAGGAGCCCCTCCCGCAATGCCTTCTTCACACCCCCCGGGGGGGTAGCCAAACCCGCATTTGCAGGCGGCGCACTCCACCATTTGACCCGGAGCGCCCCGGCTGCTCGCTCCTGTTGTCTGGAGCACGGTGTGGGGAAAGGCAGCTTCTGGGGGGAGAGGGAGGGCTGTGACACATTTTTGTGTTCTCAAGCGTCTCACCCAGGCCACATTCCCAAGCCTCAAGTGAATCTTATGCAACAGATGTACCCACGTGGACAGGCTTTTGTTTTCCTGTGCACCCTTTACTTGCAGACAGTTCAAACTTAAATTTTCACGGATGCCTCCTCCCAACTGTAGCGTTTTCTTTCTCCTTACTGCCCACCCACCCTCACCGGTAGCTCTTGCCATAGGGAGCGTTCATAAAGTTCTGGGTCAGGTGTCTGGGAACCCCGGGCATGAACTGCCAGCTGGCTGGGGCCTCTGGGCCACTGTCAGAGCCCATTCTCGAGGTTCTAGACCGACGCCTCCCACCATCCCTTATCTTCTCGCTGGAAAAGGTGATCTCTGTGTCTGCAGCCCATGGGTTCCCCAGCGAGCACAGATGTGTTGAACTGTACATTCCTCTAGCTCCTCCTGTATTTTGTCCTGGCTTTTTCAGTCCCCTCGAAAACTTCATTAGGTTTTGATTCCATTGAAGGAAAGTAAGAAAGTCATATTCAAATATGTGTCTATACAGTCACCACCCAGAGGCCCCGGTTTGAGACACACGCGTGAGGAGGAAAGCCCACCTGTTCCCCCCGACCCCCACACCTCCCCTTCGTAGCTCGGCTACTCTTACCTTGCTGTCCTTTGGGGCCTGGAGGCCCCGGGAGCCCCTTCAGACCTACGGGACCCTCAGGACCAGGAAGCCCTGGCTCCCCTTTGATGACATCGTAGGGTCCCGGGGGGCCCGGGGGGCCAGGAAGGCCTGTGGAAATCAGAGATGCCACTGATCAATTCCACTGTCAATGCTCCCGGGAGAAGAGCCCAATGTGAAAACCAATCCAAACACAACGTTTCTCAGTATCAAAAATATAAGTCATGTGCATACTTCTACTATTTAACCTAAAATCCTGAATCCTCAGGCTGGGGGCCATTAGTATAAACTGGCCGCTCGGTTTTGGAATCCCCAACAACCACCATGCGGCCCTCGCCTGTACAGGCCCAGCAGGTGAAGCTCCGTCCCTCCCAGGGAGCCCACCTGCACCCAGAGCGCTGCAATGTATGCAATTAGAAGGGTTCTTCCTATAGTCTCTGAAATCGGCTGTAGGTATATTACAAGCATGGGCCTTCATTTTCCAATGACACATAAACTTAACCCTTCTGCATGGCAGCCCCTCAAAGATGAGGAGCAGCTCCAGAGCCCACAGAGGCTCTGAGTCAGCCCCAGCCCCCAGTCCTCTCCTGCCCTCCACACATCTTCCCCGTTTCTTTTGTTCCTGACATTGCACTGCTCAGTCTCTCTCTTGAAGCATGATTTTGAAAATTAAACATGGCCCTGGAGATGTGGTCAGCCCAGCAGAAGCTAGAACGGGATGCTGGTTTTCCCCCCGAAACTGCCTTGGGGTGTGGGAGCCGCCGAGGAGAAGCCGAGGAAGAGTCTTCCCTGTGCAGAGCTCCTTGCCCCCCGGCCCCCATGCAGCCTGTCCATGCAAGACCGAGCCCCTCCCTAGGACAGCTGAGTCCTTGGGCTGCTTGCCTCCGGAGCCTGTGGGCTGTGAATCTTGAGTCTGTCCTACTCTCTCCTCTGGACTTACCTCCTAGATTTAATGAGCCTGACTTTCAAGACACGTCATAAAAATGTCCTGACAAGCTACCAAAGAGTTTTTAATCAACTGTTTCCTAACGATACTCAAGCCCTCACGTCTGCAAAACCAAACTCCCCAATTCTGTGCGTTCAAAGCATCAGCAAGGCCCCGCCGGCACAGCAAAAGCTCCTACCTTTACTTCCAGGGAAGCCCTGGTCACCTTGATCCCCCTTCACTCCCTGCAGGCCAGGGAGGCCTTTCTGACCTGGAGGAAAGAAGAACATTGTCTGCACAGAAATTTCCAACGCAGGTACACATACCTGCACATGTGCACACGCATGTGCCCACTGCATGTGTGTCCGCATACACACATACCTAGGTGCGTGAGTACCCATGTATACATGCATACACACACACAGTGAACATATATTTCCAGTTTGTTCTCAGGGAAGAAAAGAACATTACTTCTGGTCAGCTATATAAAACTTTTCATGAAACTCTTCTTTCTAGAACCGAGAAGTCACATTTTTCCAAACCTACAACAAACTACAAAATGATCACAAATAGTGGAGGGGCACAAGATCCTATTTTTGGCCATAATCTGGTGCACGCATGTCCCCAAATAGACCCCAAGATGCCTGCAGACTGAGAACTTGTTTTATTCACCTGGCATTCATATGTATCAGATTCAGCAGTAAAACTCACAGTGCCTGGGAGCTGAGAGGCACCCAATAAATGTTCACTTAATATGTTAATAAATTAATGAAGGCCCCAAATCTATGATTTCTTGCTGATAATACAAATGATCGAGATGCAAATGATCCGCTGATTCTTAATAAGAACATGCAGAGTGTCTTTATACAGCCATTCATAGAGTGATAGAAATCAGGCTGCCATAGCACAAAACAGCATGTTCAACTGGGAGAACAGTGTCTTGCACCGTAATCAGGCCGGCCTATCAACGTGAAAGGGCCAGTGGTCAGGTTCTTCCTCCAAGCAGCACCTTCTTTATGGTCTTACCTTGAAATCCTGGCACTCCTGGAGGCCCCATGTCACCCTTAGAGCCCGTGATCCCTGGCGAGCCACCAATCCCCTAGACACACAAGGAGAATGTCAGCCAGGAAATTCTCAGGAGGTGGTAAGTCTCTCAAGTGACCTGCTAGTCAGGGGGCTAGGGCAGGCCCTCAGCGTTCTGCGAGGGAGCTCTGTGAACAAACAGTGCCCTGTGCTTTCTTAAGTGACGGAAAAAGAAAGACAAGATCTCTATTCGCGTCTACACGAGGGAGCTGGAAGTTGGAACACTTGCTTCCTTCACGGTGCCTCCTCCCTTGGTCCATCTACACAGGCAGTTCCCAGAGCAGGTGCACGCCATGCGTCCTGCCATCCCCAGCCCACAGCACGGTGCCGTGGACAGACCTGGGCCTTCCTGAGCGCGCGTCACCATGACCTATCAACCTCTCAGCACCAAACTACCATATGGAAACTTTCCCCCAAACACTCAAGCATAATGCATTTTCTTTAGAATTAGCTTGATACCTTATCTGAAAAGGGATTTTAAATATGGAGAGAAGGAAACACATAACCAAAGGAGGACTGTTTTTCTTTATAAATATGGCATCACTCATGTATTTTAAACATATTATCTCATTTTCTGGCTATCTCAAAATAGTTGCTTCTCACACTTCTCAGTATAAATAAGTCGTACGGTTTCTCACGTGTTATTTGTTTCTTTGCTTATTTAAAAAAGGGTCACAATGAAAACACGCAGAAACACAGATATGCGTACACACATCAACGGGTACGTGGACACAGCCAGCCACTCAGGGCACCAGAAATAGGGAGTGCACCTCTCTTACTGAAGCCTGCGGTTTGCATCGAGGGTGTGCCCAGATTTCTAGCCCAGGCACTGAGCTGCAATCCCCAGCAACGGGGATTGCACTTCGCTGGAGCGTGTCTTGTAAAACTAGGTACAAAGAATGTTGTACTTGTAAAGCTACTGTGACGTCAGGCAAGGTGGCAGACGACCAGCAACAAGCGGCAGCCCCTCCAGAGAGGATGCAAGAGTGCAACACCCATGCACACACGCGCACGGCTCTGCGGCCCTGTTCACACACAAGACGGGCACACGGACAACTCACAGGCAGGCCTTGGAATCCTGGCTCTCCCTTGGGCCCTGGAGTTCCAGGAGCCCCCGGCCAGCCCGGGTTTCCTTTGTCACCTTTGAGTCCGTCAAGCCCAGGGAGCCCTGGAGGCCCCACAGGTCCCGGAAGCCCTAATGGGAGACGCGAAAGTCGCACATTTGGGGTTAGAGGGTGATTTTATGGACAGGTGGGCTTGGCATCTCCACCCAACTGCCCCCCGCCCCAGGCAACAATGTAGGGCGCTGTGGGAGCCTGCGGAAATCCCACCCGTCTTAGAAGGGAGAATCCGCTCGATGGCACCCCAACCGCAGCAAACGACCCCGCCACGCAGCCGCCCTGGGGCGGGGGTGGGGCGTGCCAGGATGCCACCGGGTGTCAAGCCAGCACGGGCGACATCTGCGCCCCAGTCTCTCCCAGCAATGTCTAGTCTACCTCTAATCACTCGTCACATCTACTGAAGTCCTTGACAGAGAGGACCTGGGGGGGAGGGGAGTAACCCAGCAGAGGCCGAACAAGGGTCCCCAAATATCTGAAGCAGTTCTGGGCTGCAGTCAATGCTGCAAACTTCTAAGTAAAGAACTCCACTGAGGACCGAAGTACTCCCATCACGGTCACACCTGCGCGTGTCTGCGCCTTCTGGGGTCGGCGCCGGCTCTGACCCTGGTGAGACATCCTTACCTGGCAGGCCAGGTTGGCCCTGCGGACCCCGGTCTCCTTTGGGCCCCTCCACGGCATGGCCTGGGGTCCCAGGCAAGCCCGGCTGCCCTTGTGGCCCCGGGGGACCCATGAATCCTTGCTCTCCTTTGGATCCGGGGATGCCTGGACTCCCGGCTTGTCCCGGGAAACCCACGTCGCCCTTTGAACCTAAACAACAACAACAGTTTGAGATGCTGGCGAAAGGCAGGGAGAAGAGAAACCATGGCACAGGGACGAGGAGGGAGTGGCTTCCGGAAGGCATCGGGGGACAACAGAGCTATGTGCCCTCTCCCTGCTCTACCAAGGAACACACTAGACTGCAACCATGGTCGACCTGGAAAAGAGTCAGCTTAGAATACAAGAGCCCAGCTGTCATTCTTGATGCTTTTAACATTTTTTAAAAGATCTTATTTACTTACTGAAGCCCACACAAGTGAGCAAGGGGCTCAAAGGCAGGGAGCCCGACGTGGGACTCGATCCCAAGACCCCGGGACCATGACCTAAGCCGAAGGCAGATGCTTAACTGACTGAGCCTCCCAGGCACCTCTCTTTAACACTTTTTAAAGGAAGTGTTTTGCCGCAAAGCCACTGGAATGCAAGCTCAGAGGCGTCTGCAAGCAAGAGCACCGCTAACTGAAGAGCTTGTTAAGCCACACCACGGAACCCTACTCAGCAGCAAGAAACAGGAGGGAACGCCTGGTACAAGCCGCCACACCAGTGACTCTCAAACTAATTATGCTGTGCAAACAAAGTCTGACTAAAAAGAGTAAAATACAGAGGATTCTGTCGATATAGAACTCTAGAAAATGCAAGCTAATCCACAGTGCCAGAAGACAGACCAGTGGGTGGTGAGGGGGTGGCGCTGGGGGCAGGAAGGGCAAGCTGGGGATGACAAAGCAGCCCAGAAGACTTTTGAGGGAATGGATGTGTTCACTGTCCTGAATGTGGGGGTACTTCTGCACGTGTGTACATGTACCAAGACCTACCAAATGGCACCCTCTACATCTGTGTAGTTTATGTATGTCAATGAGAAAAACACGGTAATAAACTGTTTTTAAAGTTTTTTTAAGGTAAGAATTTATAGGGGGAAAAAATCCCTGCATGTGTAGCCTCCACCATATTACTTCAAACTTGCTAATTAAATACCAAAATTCTAGGATGATTTCAAGGTTCTTAAGAAAAAGTAAGAAGGGAATGAAACAGAGTCATCGCCAAAACTGACAGCAGGCCCCTCCTTGTGATTCTTGTCTTGATGTCTCAGAAGACAACGAATCGAAGCACAGTGCACCAGATGGTGGTTTGTCGGGGGCCAGGAGCAGGCACGGACGAGACGGACGAGACTGACCCAGAGCCGGCATCTGTCACCCCTGCCCACGGCCTCCTCGCAATCGCGAGACCCGCTCTGTTTCGCAAATGTTACCTTTCTCTCCTTTGGCCCCTGGAAACCCTGGGAATCCTCTTCCGGGCAGACCTGTAAGTTAAGGGTAAGAAGTCACGTCCACATTTCCTAAAACAGTTGGTCTGCAGGTCCAGCACTAAACACCATCAACTCTGTGTGCCAATACCATATGCTCTTTATAGGATACGTGGAAATCAGTTCATCACACGTGTGCGAGAAAAATCCCACTCCCACGGTTGTGCTGAGAGGCCCTGGACTGGGTATGGATCATTTAGCACTTTTCTTTAGTACCTGTCAGCACAGAACCGTTACGGCATTTAGTAGAAAGGACCCGTACAAGCAAGCACGTATTTTCTCCTCCCGTCTAGAGACTAACAAACCGGCTTTTCTCAGACGACCATCCAGCTAACGGCCGTTCTAGGGGGAGGCAGAGAGAGTCAGAGACGTTCCAGACAGTAAGCACTGGGAAGGCCACACACGTGAGCAAGGGGCTCGAAGGAAGATGAAAGTGGGGGAAAAGAGATGTGAAGGCATTTCATGAATTATTGTTATAAGAAAATGAACGCACGCAATATACACGTAAGGTGTACAGAATGAAACAGTGAACTTTAGCAGGAGGTCAGCCCTGGCCGCAGGAAACCCCCGGGATGCCCCTCTCCAGCGACATTCCCCACGTGGGTCCCCAGTTCGGGGTCACCCTCTTGCTACACATGCGTACTACCGTGTACGCGATTCCCACTGTTGGAGCTGGCAGCCCGTGAGTGACGGGAGCAGATGTGGGGGACCGGCAATGTCCCCAGGACCACCTCTCTAGAGGGGGACATGCCAGGCTCAGGAGGGAAGAGTCTGGGCTGTTTCTGGGTGGCTCTCTCACACGCCGCTGGGAGCTCAGGGCAGGAGCCCGTGCCTGCTGCTGGGAGAAATGCACGCCCCCTGCTCCTCTTCTTAGCCAGGCCCCTCCCCTGGTCCACACCAGTGTTCAAACAGTACGGACGCGCGGGGAAGGGGCCACTTTGTGCCCAGCCCCAGTCACTTAGCACGGTCCAGAAGTCTGAGACCTGTTGACCCCCAGGGGAGCAGCTCGTCCTGAAAGGGAGCAGAAGCTGAGCATACCTGCTTCACCCTTCTCTCCCGCCGACCCCGGGATTCCGTCACTGCCGGGCTCCCCTTTCTGGCCGGCTGGGCCCGTGGGGCCAGGAGTCCCAGGAAGACCTCAGAGAGAAGAGTCACATCAGTCAGTCAGGCATGGACGCTCTCATGGCACCTGCTCTGCACGCAAGACCCTCGTGTGACCTTCCTCCAGGGAGCCGTTACCCCAGCGCGCCTGGCGTGCCCGAGACACGTACATCAAACTGCCACACTGCCACACAAACCGATTCTAGAACCTCTAGAACCAACTGGACCTAGCTGAACAGCCAGCTCTGCGACCTTGGTTCTAGCTCCTAACTGGTGGCCAGACCTCAGAAGGACCCCATGAGCCCCCTACATTCAGTTCGTCCATCTGAAACGAGGAGGGCTGGGTCACCCGGGGACATTCTGGGGTCCACGATGTGCCACCTTGAGGGAGGGAAACTCCCAGCCTCGATGGCCCCTGTGTGCATTCAAAAAAGTGGTCTCTACCTGCTTCTCCTTTGATGCCGGGAATGCCATCCGATCCCGGGAGACCTTTGTCACCTTTTTCTCCCGGCAATCCGGGGCTTCCTGATGGGAGACGAAAGACACCAGAATGCCATCGGTTTGAGTTTTCCCGTCACCTTCCAACCCAAGCTCGGGAGGAGGCCCAGCTCACCTACCTGGATAGCCGACACTCCCTGGCGAGCCTTTGGGGCCCGGGGAGCCGGGGACCCCTGGGGTACCAGCGCTGCCTTTCTCTCCTTTCTCTCCGGGACTGCCCGGAAAGCCTGCGACCCCTTGATCTCCCTGTGAGTAGACATTGAGCCCATACATTTTACATCTGTCCCCGGACAAAGGTCTGGGGGCCCTTTCTGGATAACAGTACACATTTTGGTGCCATTAACGTTACACTGGAGAATCCCATTTCCAGCTTTCTAACGAAGAGTCAAAGTCCAGGTCCGAAAAACGAGCACAAACGGGAAGCCCGGAACAAAGGAGCCAATTATCTGTTCCTACTCTCCATGCCCCTCTTCACCCTTCCTTTCCAGCCCGTGAGGGCTTGCTGCCCTGCCTCTCCGACAGCCTCCAGACCCTTCCCAAGGAAGGGGTGGTGGACAGAAGGCAGGAGGCACAACTTGGAGTAAGTCGGGGGACACTGTTCTGTGTTACGAGTAAGTTAATGTGCTGAGCTGCTCAGATGGCGGGCAGGGGGGGTTTCCAAGTGGGGGGCTCTTACCTTGTCCCCAGGACGGCCCGGAATTCCAATGCCAGGGAGGCCCACCTGCCCTTTCTCTCCTTTGGCTCCTTTCTCCCCGGGTAAGCCAGGGACGCCCTGTGGGCCGGGGATCCCAGGCACACCTTTTTCTCCAGGTGTTCCTATAAAGCAGACAACTGAAACTTGCATGTGTGCTTAGCAGGTGCTAATATTCAAAATAAAAAAGCGCTCTGACGGCCTGCAAGGAGGAGGTAAAAGAACATGTTTCCCATCAATCTCTTAGTTACACAGGCAGGTGCCAGTTGCCCACAGCACGTTAGTGCCACACTAGGAAGCGCCTGTCCTGTCTTCTAGGGACCATCATTTCAGAGAGAGACAGAAGAAATACATGAACTCCTTAGCATATTTGCTTTGGCAGCAGTATAACAAAGGGCGTTTGTGTTCTTTATTCTACAATCAATGCACATTACCCCAAAGAATCAGAAGGGTCCTGAGGCAGGCCATCATAAGAGTAAGCGCATACCTGCTTTCATAACGTATGCTGGTACCCAGACCTCCTTACAGACAGGTGTAAACAGCGAGCTAGATGTCTCTATGTCGAACGGGGGTGATCAGGTGCCTTGTGAAGGCGGAGGGGGGGCCAGAGAGGCCGGCCTCCTGCCTCGGCTCTCCCTACCCAGCGGGTTCCAAGAGGCACTAGCCACGGACCCACCTGAGGCCCGCGCTCTCTGCCTCTCACCTGCTCCCTCACGGGAGCGAATGCAGCAGGCGGGGTTGGGGCCAGCTCAGGCCCGCGGTAGAGCAACCAGAGGGCTCTTCCAGGTGGCCGCCAAGGGGCGCCAGTGGCTGGCCCAGACTGCACGGGGGACACGGCGGCCAGGTGGACAGGCACCTGGAGGTGATCGAAAGGTGACAGCAGACAGCCCGTATTTTATTTTATTGAATTGTGATTTTCTTTCTTTTTTTTAGCAGTGGTCGCTGTGTCAGCCAAATGCCACTGATCCTGAGGCAGGAGACCATACAGAACTGAAGATGTGCCCTGGGGTAAAAGACTGGATCATGCCCTCGGGGCGATGCACACCCTCCAACAGGCCTGTCCCACCAGCACTGGCGCATTCTTTTCTTTAGAAAGGAGACATCTTATCTGAATCCAAGGTACCTGGCAGGCCCATTCCACCAACCGATCCCTTGGGTCCAGGGAGTCCTGGAGCGCCCGGGGTTCCTCCTATGCCTGGGTCACCTTTAGGTCCTAGGGTGACAGAGAAAAGCCCAGCAGGTTAATGCCAACGAACAGTGCTTAGCACAAGCTCCCGCCGTGCGGTGGACTTGAACTTCACTGCATACCTGGCTGCCCAGGATGCCCCGCCTGCCCGTCCTTTCCAGGTACTCCCGGGGTTCCAGGGTCTCCCCGGGATCCTTTATCACCAGTTGGTCCAGTCTGTCCTGCACATCACAGAAAAAGAGTGGTGATGACCCACGTCTGCTTAAAAGGCAAACTGTTGCAGAAACACAGGTTGGGCTGATGTTACTGGCGCGAGCTACAGAACCGGTCAGACATGCAGCTCTACACCCGCCAGACCCCTCACCCAGTCACCTTTCTCTCCTTGGTCTCCCTTCTGACCCTTCATGCTGCCCATGTCCACCTTATCCATGGAGCCAGGCATGCCAGGGAGACCCACGTCTCCTTTGTCCCCCTTGAAGCCAGGGTCTCCCCTGGGCCCCGAGGAGCCCGGGAAGCCGTGGTCCCCTGCAGAGGAAAGACAAGCACCGGTGAAGTGTGGCCAAGGCCTCTCGGAGGCAGCGACACGCTGTGGCACTCCTTCTGCTAAAGGAGGGAGGAAGAACTCGCGGCCTGTCCACAAGCAGCACTAGGTAGCAGGGCGTGGCGAGTGTCTGAGCTACCAGAAGAATCTGGCCCCAGGAAATAAGAAGTAAAGCCATTTTTTACAATTGAGTATTCGCTAACGACCCTACTATATTTGTGACTCTGCTTATTATCGGCTTAAATACTTTACACTTTCCCTCTTTCCTAAGGACCTTCATCATATCTGTTCATGGTGCCCCTCAATCTGATACAAAACAATAAAATGGGAATTTTCTTGTTCTACTAAACAAATGACCATTTCCATGTCTCACAAAGTCAATTTGTTAAAAAAAGAAAAAAAACATATTTTGGACCAATTTCAAACAACAAGGTAAGAAATAAAAATGAAGACTTAAAAATTTGCCCAGTTTGCTAATTTGATTCTAAGGCCTCAGTTCCTATGACCTTGCAGGACCACAGACCCCACCAATCCTATAAAAACAAACCAACTCCAACATCCCAATAAGGAACAGCCGAAAACCTGTCTCTTGTTTGGTTTTGGGCAGGGCACAGCCCCTGCTCCCACATGCACCGCCCACCAGGAGTTCCCACCGGAGGCGGGGGGGGTCTCCCCAACCCTTGCCTGAACTTCTTGACTTCTTTCCTCTGCCTCTTGCAAGGAAATAGGACCTGCAACCTCTCAAGAGTTTCCAAGGAACACGGAGACATGGACACAAGACAGGCTCTGCTAGAGCTGCCCACTCCCTACCTTTCTCTCCTGGTAATCCTGGCAGGCCCGCTGGTCCCGGTGAGCCAGGCTGCCCCGGGGTCCCCATGACGCCCATCTCTCCCTTGGGACCTGTGGCCAGATGGAAGGACAGTGAATGCTGACTGCAGATACTATGGGTCATGGACAGACAGGGGGCCGGAGTTCACAAATCATTTACCTGGAAACCCAGGCACCCCAGGTGTGCCCTGCTGTCCGGGGAGACCAGGGAGCCCCGACTGTCCCGTCAGGCCAGGCAGCCCTTGGGACCCTTTATCTCCTTTGGGACCTGGCATGTCCAGGCCTGGAAATCCGGGAAAGCCCTTCTCTCCTTTCACTCCGGGAGGGCCTGAAGGGGGCGAAGAGCGAGAGCAGTTAGCCAGATCTGCAGGGAGCCCTGTGGGGCAGCCCCCGGGCCTAGCCGGAGCTTTCTGCAGGAGGCACATGAGCGCGTGTGCCGTGCTGGGGGCCGGGATGCTCCCACCATCCCAGGTGGCGGCGTCTAGAGCCATGGGGCAATCCTGCGGGGACAAGGCCCGGAGACCAAGCCCTCCCCTCTGCCACTGGCGGGCAGCAGCCTCCGCTGACATCAGCCCCAGGCATGTCTGCAGTGTTCACACCCCACGCCAGCTGCTTCTCCAGCTGTGTTCAGGGACTGTCTTGTCAGCCCAGCAGCACTGTCTCACTTCCGGACGGGTCACTAAAGGCAAAGGCAGCTCCTAGCTATGGGCCAGTTTACGGGACCCACAACTTACTAACCTCCCCCACCCCACAGGAAAATAAAATGGAGATGCCAGTCGTTTTAAGTCAATGAAAATATCACTGAATATACATCTCTGGAGGGTAAACCAAGCTCAGTGCGAGGAAAAGAAAGACACCTACAACCCTTCCTTTAAGTGAACATCGGACTGGTTTCCACAAAGCAGAATCGCCCTTTCCCCCTTTTATTCACAAGGGAGCACTAATCCCCACTTCATGCAGACTCCTGACGGCCCGTCCCCTCCATCAGCATGCTTTGGGGAAGCAGTAATTGTGGAAGAATGTCCCATCACCTGAGGATCCTGGTGGTCCCTGTCCTCCAGGGGGGCCCATCGCTCCAGGGGGGCCAATTCCAGGAGCTCCCGGAGCTCCTTTGGGACCTTGTAATCCAGGCGGCCCTGGGTCACCTGGATGGGAAGAAATTGTAAATAAACTGCATACAGACCATAGCACATTTCAAAGCACACACTACCCACCCACACGATAAACCACAACACAATACCATAAGGTCCAGCCTCCTGTGATTTCCATCATTCATTCAACACACATTTACAGAGCTCCTGACAGGGGCTCTGCGTACATCAAATAAACAGGCCCCAGCCCCCTGCCACCGTCTAGACTTGTCTGTAAGAAGTCATCTCGGGGGCTCGGGTGGCTCAGTTGGTTAAGTGTCTGACTCTGGACTTCGGCTCAGGTCATGATCTCACCGTTGTCAGATCGAGCCCCACACTGGGCTCCCCGCTCAGTGAGGAGTCTGCTTGAGATTCTCCCTCTCCCTCTGCTCCTCCCCCTGCTCATGCTCTTTGTCTCACTCTCTAAATGAATAAATAAAAATCTTTTTGTTTTTGTTGTTTTTTAAGATTTTATTTATTTATTTGACAGAGAGAAACACAGCGAGAGAGGGAACACAAGCAGGGGGAATGGGAAAGGGAGAAGCAGGCTTCCCACCGAGCAGGGTACCCAACGCGGGGCTCGATCCCAGGACCCTGGGATCATGACCTGAGCCGAAGGCAGATGCTTAACGACTGAGGTGCCCCAATAAATAAAAATCTTAAAAAAAAAAAGTTACCTCTGATTCCCTGAAGGCCTGGGGGGCCGACAGCACCATGCTCTCCAGGAACACCTGGTCCCCCGATGTTCCCCTTTTCTCCAGGTGTGCCGGGAACGCCGGGAAGACCTGGCAATCCTTTGAGCCCTGGCAGACCAATGCCCGGCTCTCCCTGGAAATTTCCGAAGCACAGAGAAGCCAGTTCACCAGCACAGCCCATGAATTCATCAAACCCAGGGCACAGGTGCAGACAGTAAGGACCAAGCTACCTGCCCATGTGCACCTGCCCAATACCCACAGCTGCTACCTGCCCATGTGCACCTGCCCAATACCCACAGCCTCTACCTGCCCATGTGCAACTGCCCAATACCCACAGCCGCTACCTGCCCAATACCCACAGCCTCTACCTGCCCGTGTGCACCTGCCCAATACCCA